CGAAAGAAAATAAAGTAGATTTAAGCTTCGGAGGGGTAAATGCGTAATTTTGATGTGCATTCGTCGAAAGAAAATGAAGTAGATTTAAGCTTTGGAGGGGTAAATACGTAATTTTGATGTGTCATTCATCGAAAGAAAATGAAGTAGATTTAAGCTTCGGAGGGGTAAATACGTAATTTTGATTTGACATTCGTCGAAAGAAAATAAAGTAGATTTAAGCTTCGGAGGGGTAAATATGTAATTTTGATGTGTCATTCGTCGAAAGAAAATGAAGTAGATTTAAGCTTCGGAGGGGTAAATACGTAATTTTGATGTGCCATTCGTCGAAAGAAAATAAAGTAGATTTAAGCTTCGGAGGGGTAAATACGTAATTTTGATGTGCCATTCGTCGAAAGAAAATGAAGTAGAGAAAACCTAATTAGGTTATATTAGGTACGTTTGAAAAAAAAATATTATACTAAATTCGATCGACACGAATTTTAAGATAACATTTTAATTTTTTGTAGTGAAATAAGAAATGAATTTGTTTTTTCTAAAATTTGGCAATGTTTTACCACTATAATTTTAAGAAATTAAATGATTAACAAATTAGCCTTAATAATGCAACCCGGTAACAAACGGTGCAGTGTTGAGGAGCTTTGACACCCCTTTCCGATACAGTTTGGTACCACTGAGGTATGTGTGAAGTCGGTTAGAGTTGTGTGACCTGAGGTGAGAGTTTAGGTGGACTATCTTGAGTAGAGGATCCAACCTATGGGAGGCATTGATCATGCAAGTAGTCAAGAGAGGTGGTGTGCACAGGGAGTAGCGTCCCCAACTTTGGGCAACTCCATGGTCTATGGGATGGGTTTGCTAGTTATCTCTGAAGGATGACGAGTAGACTAGCACTCACCTAATTTGTAAAAGTGTACTTAAGGTAGCACCTCAACTCTACGTCGATACTGCTACAAAGCCTTTCACTATCCAAGTCGGTATACAACAAGGACAGAAAACTTAGATTCTAAGATCAACGACAAGATCAGCTGGTACGTTAAGAATGGAATGAGAGCCTACAAATTAATTGTTTGCTGCGTATATTTTTCCAGTTTGAGATCGATGAGAGTACTAGTTGAGACCCATTCAATATTTCTTAAAATTTAAGAATCTTCGGAATATATTTAGAGTTTCATTAAAATAAAAATTTAAAAATAATTAGATAATATTGAGCCATTCGAATATCTGGCCCAACACCAGACTCATTATGTATACAACAGGCCAAGCCCAAATAAAAGCCCAAATCTAAGCCCAAAGGTCGTCGGTGATCTGTTGGTAGCCCATTTATTTGGGCCTGTCTCTCATTCATTGGGCTTTAGAAAACAAATCATTTTTTTTTCAGTTTTCTTTTTATCATAATATAATATAAATATTAAACAAACTTTTAAAATTAAAAGGAATTTATAGTGAGTATTATTTTTAATTAAAAGAATATTAAACTTCCAAAAATCAGCTCAATTACTATAATAATGATAAAGATATCACGTCACCATTATTAATTTTTGTATAAAAATATTGATATGATACGTCATTATTAAAATTATATATATAAATATATATAAAAAAGGAATAATTGAAGTGGTTCTTTTTTATTACCGATGGAATATACAAAATAATAAAGAGAGACGTTCTTTTATTGTCATAATTAATTTGAAAAATAATTTAATAAAACTATTCTAGGCATTTAATTCCACCTATTTCTACTGTTTTTTTTTATTTTTTTTATGAATTTTTATATTTTCCTAACCACCATATTTATTATTTTTATTTTTCATAAAAAAAAAAAGAAAATGTATTGCATGCTTTATTATTTTAAATTTATATTAAGTGAATAAAGCTCATATTTTATTCTTAAAAAAAACACAAGTTTTTCTTTTATAATAATTAACGTTCCATGTGAAAATGAAAGTCAAATATGAATTTTATTGAATTTTTAGTCGGAATGAAAATAAATTTTAATTTCATTTTAGTTTCCAAATTATTATAAATATGAAATTTAAATTAAGAACAAAAATAATAATTTAGTTAATATGACTTTAAATTCATATATTATATTAAAGTCATAAATAAAGTAATTAATAGGTAGGTAGTGAGAAAATAACAATAAAGATCGAATTTTTTATTTTCGTAATATTTTTTTTTAAAAATGGATATATACATTTTTATGCTAGAAAGAATCAAAATAGAAAAGAAAAAAAAAATCCCTTTTATTTTTATTTTTATTTTTAGTTTTATATCCAAGACAAAATGTAGTAGGAAAATAATTAGATTCTTAAAGTAATATTATTTTTGTACAATTTTAAGATAAGTGAACTAACTAACCTCATAAAAATATTAATAAATTAGGGTAAGGTAGGTATATCACCTAACTACATTTATATTTATATTTATATTGTCCTATATTAAATTTTTAACTTTGTTTATTTTAATTATTATATTTCTAACTCTTTCACAAACAAAATCAAAATAATTTAAAATTAGTGAGTAATAAGTAAAATAATTATAAAATGGAAAGAATTCCGATAATTATGTTAAATATGATACAGTAATATAAAACTAAATAACTTCAACGTTACGTTCATCATAGAAAACAAGATATTAGTACACATTATGTAACTATCTATATATATTTTATAAATTTATGTGACCTTTTTAATTAACTAATTTAATTTGGATGAGTTCAAATCTTTTTGAATTTTCTTTGTCTCATTTATATTGCTACAATGTCTCGTGATGGTATGTATGCAGACTCTAGATCCTTATGTTATCTAAACTCGTTTGACCTGAGATTTGTTTGTATCCATTTTATGTCAAACCCATATTTTATCTAATCAATTTCTTTTTTTTGACTTAGATGGGATGATTGTTGTAATATTTTTTTTAATCGCTCTTTTAAAAATTCCGAGCATTTGAGATTTTATTAGGGATCTTAAAGAGTGAATTTCAAACCAATTCATTAGAGAAAAGTGTTCGGGATGCCTAAAGAGACCCAAAACCTAAAAATTAGAATATCGAAGTCAACAAGGGCAAAATGGTAATTTTGTTCACACTTACCATTTTGCAGCATCGTATCTTCCCCTTGTACAGACCTTGCGTGTATAAATGAAGGACAATATCTCTATTAATACGAGACATTTTGAAAAAACGAGACGGATGGATTTTGCAGCCATCCAAACAGAATGCTCCAATATTAATTAAAATAAAAAACCCAGTTGGGAGGAAAATGTCCAAAAAGTGAAAAGGAAAAAAAAGCGGCTAATGGAAATTTATATTTAATTTTATTAAATTGTTTAAAAACATGTGGGCGACGGCCGACAATCCAACCCAAATTTAACGTGAATTCTCCCGAACAGCCCAATGTATTTGAATTATTTATTTAACTTAATTAAAAATAAATAACATTCTGCGTTTTTAACTGCTTTTTATTTATTTATTTATTTATTCAAAGTTAATAAATTAAAATATTATATTTATGTTTTTTAAGAAAATATTTAGTTAAATGGGTTTAGTCATTTAATTTCCAATTTTAATTCTTAATTTAAAAACGTAAAATACAATTTAAATGGCATATACAAATTTTTAATTTATTTTGGAAATCAAATTTAGAAAGTCAAAAAAAAAAAAATTGTCAACCGGTTTATATATTTATAAAAATAAAAATGAAATGATTAATCAATTATTATCCCGCCGGCCACCTCATTGCCCAAGCAATCTCAAGTCAACCACATGGATTGTCCTTGCATTTTACACGTGGTTCTATTACTCCTTCAAAATAAATAATTTTTTTTTAAATCCAATAAAAATTTTCAATTTTCTTCTTAAAAACAAAAATCAGTTTCACAATTATAAAAAAAAAGAAAAAAAATTCTTTTATCTCTCCCGTTTAGTTCTTAACGTAACATGTATTATGAATAATATTTTTTTAATTAATTAAAAAAATTTGCCAGTTCATGATTTATTAATTTTATATTAACAATTAAAATGCAGTAAAATTTAAATATCAAACATTCTCGAGTCATAAAAATCGCTAGCATTAATTAGAAACGTCAAATTTTTTAATCTTCTTACTAATCTTAAAAGTAGAGTAAAATTAGTGAGAATATTTGCTTAATCCATCTCACCCAAATTGTGTGAAAATTCTCTTTTTATAATAAAATAAATTACAATGATATAGAAATAATAATAGAAGGAAAAAATAATAAATGAATACAAATATTTGCATTATAATGAACGGTCAACTATCCTTAACACAATTAGGTTGTGTTATAATCCAATTTGACCACTTGTCACAATCGCACTTTGATGACAGTAGACGGACTTGCAATTGTGCGATACTCACTTCCCAGTAACAAATGAGTTAAGCCTATTCGTTCTTGCGTCGTTTGCGGCCAAACGACGTATACTCAAGCCTGTGACCTCGGTTCAAGAAGAAAGTTTTAGAAAACGGAGACAGAGAGATTTTTTTCGAAGGAGAGTTTTGAAAGCAAGATTTGAGAAATTGAAATTGGTGTTATATGGGAATGTAAACAGCAACAACAACTTTATGCATATAACTATAGAATTCGGAGTTGCCAAGTTAGTTAATCCAAGAATTGACCAAAACTTTAAGTTTTTAAAAATTCAAACCAAACGCGACCGAGTAATATTCAGAATCAAATAAAATAATAATAATAATTTGTTAAGGGTAAGAATGAAGGCTACGACTTGAATAAACACATGAACTCATTCCAAATTGGCGTCTTGGATTTCCCATTCTAATATAATCTCAACTTAATCTAATTTAATTATTTATTCCTTGTGAATTTAATAAGCTTTTTAAAAAAAAATTAAAAAAACTATTATTTAATTATTAATGATATTGGCGTGCGCGTCATCCCACCTGGCCAAGACCTTTTCTTCTTAATTCCCAAAAAAAAAAAAAAAAAAAAAAAAAAAAAAAAAAAAAAAAAAATACAAATCTTAAAATCCCCAATTGTTTCTCCAATTCTTCGTTCTTAGCCCATTTTTCAAAGCAACTGTTTGGATAACCAAAACAAAACTTAATCCTCCATCCTCCCATGGCGGTTTCTCCCCACTCTTTTCCGCCCAGAAAGCGGCGTCCCTCGGCGGCGGCATTCGTCTCCCCCAAACTCTCCGCCCCAATCCTCCTCGAATCTCTCCTCTCTCTCTGCCATGAAATCTCCGCCATCAAACCGCTTCAATTCATCCTCAAACGCTACTCCATTTCCATGATTCGGAAATCCAGATTACTCCACATTTTTCTCCAAGACCTCCGCCGTAATCCGACGGTTTTGCTTTCTGCCTCCGCCTTGCTCTGCCTTGAAGAAATGTACATCGTTTTGCAAAGAATCAAAACCTTGATTGAAGATTGTTCTAATGGAAGCAAGATGTGGTTACTAACTCAGAACCAATCCATCGCTAACAACTTTCATGAACTCACCTTGGATTTATCGACTCTGCTTGATATCTTCCCTGTCAAGGACGCTGGATTAACCGAAGACGTCGAGGAATTGTTCTTCCTCTTGAGAAATCAGTGCTCCGAATCTGCCGCGTTTCTTGATCCAAGAGATGAAGATCTCCGATTGAGTGTGATGAACACGATCGATCGAATCAAGGATGAAATCGTTCCGGATTGTGCCGAACTGTCGGAGATTTTCTCCATGATCGATATTCGCGATTCGTCGAGTTGTCGTGAGGAAATCGAGAATCTCGAGGACGAAGTTCAGAATCAAACGGATGAGAAATCGAGATCCGATATGATTGCTTTGATCGGATTAGTTCGTTACGCGAAATGCGTTCTGTATGGAGCGTCCACGGCGGAATCTGGATTCCGCCGGAGTGATTCGATCTCGGATTTGCCTGTACCGGCGGATTTCAAGTGTCCGATTAATCTGGATTTAATGCAGGACCCTGTCGTCGTGGCAACAGGTCATACGTACGATCGTGCGGCCATAACGCTGTGGATTGAATCAGGGCACAACACGTGTCCAAAAACAGGTCAGACCTTGGCCCATACGAACCTAATTCCGAACCGGGGATTGAAAAACCTGATTGCGATGTGGTGCCGTCAAGAGAGAGTTCCGTTCGATGTAGCGGAAAGTAACAAAGAGAGAGTCAACGGCGTCACGTTAAACAAGGCGGCGTTAGAGGCTATGAGAATGACGGCGTCATTTCTCGTTAAGAAGCTCGCCACGTCAGCAGACTATTCAGTGAACGACGTCGTTTACGAGCTTCGTGTTTTGGCTAAAACAGATCCCGGAAGCCGTGGGTTCATCGCCCAAGCCGGAGCTGTACCGTTACTCATCCGTTACCTCAACTCTGATAACCCGACTCTGCAAGTTAACGCCGTCACGACGGTGCTAAACCTGTCCATTTTCGAAGCCAATAAATCGTTGATAATGGAGACCGACGGCGCGCTGATCGGAGTCATCGAGGTACTCCGCTCCGGCGCCACTTGGGAAGCGAAAGGGAACGCCGCCGCCACCATATTCAGCCTCTCCAGTATCCATTCTTACCGGCGGAGAATGGGGAGGAAGAGTCGTGTTATCAGGGGACTGCTCGATTTGGCCAAAAACGGGCCGATTAATTCAAAGAGGGATGCTCTGGTGACCATTTTGACACTAGCCAACGACAGGGAGATCGTCGGTCGGTTAATCGAAGGTGGGGTTATGGAGGCGGTGAGCCATCTGATGAAAAGCCTGCCGGAGGAGGCGGTGACGATTCTGGAAGTGGTGGTTAGGAAAGGGGGATTTGTGGCGATTGCTTCTGGTTTTTATGTGATTAAGAAATTAGGCTCTGTGTTGAGAGAGGGCTCCGATAGGGCCAGAGAGAGCGCCGCCGCGGCACTGGTGACAATGTGCAGGCAAGGTGGGTCGGAAATGGTGGCGGAGCTGGCGTCTATTGCTGGGATTGAGAGAGTGATGTGGGAATTGATGGGGAGTGGAACGGCGAGAGGGCGGCGAAAGGCAGCATCGCTATTGAGAATACTCCGGCGATGGTCAGCAGGTTTGGACGGAAACGGCGGCGCTGGAGGAGAGTCCATGACAATGACTTCGTCGAGAATGGGTGGCGACTCAAACCCCATTGTTAGTTCATCAAGAGGAGCAATTGTGCATGTGTAGAAGAGAATAGCTTTGTTTGTAAATTAATGCGTTCTTTATTTGTTCTTAGTTTGAGNAAAAAAAAAAAAAAAAAAAAAAAAAAAAAAAAAAAAAAAAAAAAAAAAAAAAACTCTCAAAATTGTCTTCTTAGTTTTGATTTGATTTGTTCACTCTATAATGTTTTGTATGTAGTTGAACTGAGAAAACATGAATTCATTTGTAAAACATACCATATTCATTTCAAAACCGACTCAGTTCTAATGGTCACTATAGCCTCACGACTAACTCCTACACGCTCTCGCTATCGATCATCCATTCATGATCAATCTAAAAGGCAACAATAGCAATTATGTGTAAGGGTCGATGAGATGAAGAAAGACAAGAATATGAGACAACAACCTCATATAAACAATGACATTTGAACGAAACAAAGTTGTAAGATCTCACCTTGAAGAAAGCATTATTAAGAGTGTGGAAATCTCTCCTTAATAGACGTGTTTTAAAATCGTGAGGTTGACAACTATACCTAACAGACCAAAGCTGTGAACGACGAGGTCACGAAGACGCTGGCCCTAAGGGAGTGGTTGGAGATGGGAACAGAGTATTTCTTATAGAGTGTGGAAAGCTCTCCCTAACAACTAACAAATTTGTTTGTTGGAGTGGGAACAGAGTATAGGGAACAGAGTATTTGTTACAAGAGTGTGAAAATAAACTTGGTTGTTGGAGATTAAAACAGAGTATAAGGGTGTGGAAAGCTCCCCTAACAACTAACAAACTTATTTTAAAATTATCAATTAATAAATTGTGAGTAGACTAAGATATTTAATGGGTCAAAGCAGACGATATTTTAATGGGTGAAAGCCTACAATATCTAATAACGAACAATTATTACCGTTTATTTCATCATTATTTGGTAGGGGATTCAAAATTTAAATCTTAATTTAAACAATCAATCAAAAAAACATATTTTGATTTATTTATGAATATGTTTTATGTTAAAAATTTTGTATAATTTGCATAAATTAAATTATACATATTTTAATCTTTTAAAAAAATGAATGTAGTTTATAATATGAGATACTACATTTATTAAAGTCTCTTTATATATATATATATTTAAAATAAATGCAAATTTCAAACTTAAAATCGAGATAAAATGAAAATAGAAAAACTAAATGAGACATATAAAACATTAGAATAATATTAATAATGGTTTAATACTTTTAATTAATTTTAAATTATATTTTAAATATAATAGATGCATTTTTTTTACAACTTTTGTTGATAAAAATTATAATTAGTTACTTAAATCTAAGAGAGAAAATTGATTCAATAATAAATTGAATTTATTATTATTTAATATATTTGTATATTAATGAATAAATCAATCAATTAAAATAATAAATAATAAATATTTTTTACATTAAAATTTAATTAAAAAATATCAATAATTAAGTGATTTAATTAATTACAAAAATAAAAATTATAAAATTATTAGAATATTAATACTAAAATTTTATATTAAATAGTTAAGATAATATAATATATTTATGTTTAATAATTATTTAAAATAATCAATAATGAAAAACCAACAAAATATAGCAAAAAAATCTATTAATAATAAACTTCTTTTACGAAAAAAAGTTTATCCATTAATTAATTTGAATATATTTTATGTTTTTTTTTAAAGAAATATCTATTCACTTGAATATTTTATCAAAATATATCTTTACTCATACTTCAATATTTCCATCAATTCGACATTTAATTAAAGTATAACGTGTTAAGTCATTTACCGGAGTCAAGAAACCAGAACAAAAAAAAAAAAACACTCTAAAATATCAACATGAATAACATTAAAAAAAAAAAAAAACATTAGAAGAAAACTACGAAAAATTAGGTTAGCTAAGCTTGTGATGTAGATGAACAGCGTTAGATTGAGAAATTATAAGCACAAACAACTTGGTTGATTAGTATTAATAGAGACATTATTGACGACATGTCAACTTGAGCATCAAATAGGGACTATGAGATAGACTTGTCTTGTCAATCGTCACAAAATCACCTTATCCGAAACAATTTAAATGGGTCGAAACTTGGACAAACTAATAACACTATGGAGAGTAAATGAATAAAAAGGACAACCACCGCCAATAGACTTCATGACAATGAGACATCGTCTCTATGGTAAGGTGACTACAGTAGAACCGAGCTCTAGAAAAAGAGAAATAGATCGAGTTTTAAGGTATAGATAAATGGGTTCTTTCCATATACTAACCGTAAAAAATTTAAACTTTTTTTATGAGGTTCAAGGAAGACATGGTACAAGAGACTCCGTTTATATAATAATGTCAGGACTTAAATTCCGACGCTTCAAAATCCAGATCGACATAGGGAAGTGTTCGAGAGCAGCATGTCATAAAAGGGGTTGTTTCAGAGTTTCAGTTTGTCTTTCGTATTTCATTTTGTAACTGTATTCCAACTCATTTTTCTGTAATAAATTTGAAGAACACTGTATCGTTCTTTTATCTTTTTGGACGTGATCTAGATTCTTAAAGCATTCGAAAACTTGGGTCGTTACCGTAATTAAAATACGTTGAATTTAGAAAATTATTTGAAAGGGATGAGAGGGCTTTAAATGGAAAAGACTTCGAAAGCCCATAATACACAAAACACATTAAAAGTCTTCTTCTCATTGGTTGATGGGCCCTATAACTTTAGAGCCTTTGGACCATCTCATGTTCTTAGGAAAGCAACTCCCAACACAACTAGGACCTATTAGATCAACGTTAAAGGAGACGGACTTGTGACACATTCTAATCGAGCTAGTGAGGCCGGAGTCATATAAGGCTTATGTTAAACGACATTATTAGCTATAGTGAGACAATAACTTTACCTAAGAGTAACGACGATCGTTGCTTTAGGGTTTGAACCAAAAAGGCTACTAGTAGCGACACGAATAAGAAGACTTTTTAAGTTCATGCATGTACACAATATTTATAGAGAACAGAGACACGTGTTTCATAATAGTTCTTATTTAAGCGGTAAATAAGACGATTTTTGCTACATGGGTTTGAGCCATTTAAGACAACTTAGCCATACTATTGAGAGAGAACGAAATAGGAGGTGAGAAGTTGAACACGTTAAGGCACTCGTTACCGTAAAGTTGGATGGGACCATTGGTTGTAGGACGTATGTCCTATAATTTGTGGGGCAAATGCTTGGTTTTAAGGGTAAGAAAGAATGTCTCCTCCAACCCATTTAAACATCATCTCTGCCACAAAACTATACAACTTGGTTTCCTTTTCCTTTATTTATCCCCCACATTCACACATGTTTTCCTTCACTTCATTTCATTTCACCTTTTTGACTGTCCATCCCAAAACCCTACTTTTATAACCCGACGCGTGTTATGTGATGTATTGATGATATGTTAGCCGCGATGTATTTTTGATACTAGTTCCATCCTCGAACCAATTTCTCTATGTTCTCTCTGACATTCTCTTCCCTTGTAACAACGCCCATTGTTAGTAGACATTGTCTGTTTTGGCCCGTTACATATTCACCCTCATAAAAAATGTTTTGTTCCCCCTCCAACCGATATGAAAACTTCTCTTGGGGTTGGAGACCCAATGTTCTTGTTGGTACACGGTTCGATATTTGGCTTGTTACGTATTATTGTCAGATTCACAGTTTTAAAAACAAGTATGTTAAGAAGAGGTTTCCACACCCTTATAAGAGATCATTTGTTCTCCTCTCCAACTGATGTGGGATCTCACACCCGTGTTCGTAGTGGGTCCCTACAGGATCTCAACTCCACAAATGAAGTAAATTGGGAGGGTTAAAATTAACTTTGGTGTAAACAAGACTATTGGTTATGCATAAACAATGATGCACTATATCGTTTAGTCGAGAATTCAATCACTCTATCTTTCAATTTCTCTGATGTTTGAACACCAAATTTGATATAATCGAAAGTTTAAACTAACAGCCATTCATTACGAGTTTCAAAGGAGAAAATGACTTTTCGTAGCGTATAATAATAATTTTTTTGAAGCCTTGTGATTGGTTTGTTTGGGTATTGAGGCATTATCCAAGCATGGGCTAGACTTGGAATGGTGACAAACTCTCAACACCAACACATTTCTTTTGTCTTTTTCTTTTATATTTCACTAACAAAATTATAAAAATTTATTTTATATTATAAAAATCAATACTTTACTTTGAAAAAACAATTAAAATATCAATGTCGAGATTTTAATTCAATATTGATAGACATATCGATAAAATAACAATATTAACATATATTCTTATAAATAAAAAATATTAAAACTATTTAAATAAATTACCAAACTTCAATTAAAAAAAATATATTTTTTCTATAGATTTTAAAATTTAATAAGTAATTTTAGAAAATAGATAATAAAATAAAGAAAATATTTAGTGATTTATTAGGTTAATTTTTTTAATTTTAAATTGGGTTCTATTTAAACTTCTAATGCATAGTAAAATGAACAATTAAAACAAAAAAGAATATATTTTTTTTAGTATAAAACAAAAAAGAAATATTTAAAATAAAAATGCCACGTGGACCCCACCGTTTTGCCTTTATCCCCACTTTTTCTACGCTGGTGGGCCCCTTCTCTCTCCCCAAATCCTAAAACCGCCCCTCTTTTTTATCTCTCCCACCGGCGACGCTAAAACAGAGGTGAGACAGAGAGAGAGAGATTTGAGACTTTTTAGAGAGAGAAAATTTTCCGATGAGAAATCACAAATTCCGATTATCGGATATGATTCCAAACGCTTGGTTTTACAAGCTCAGAGAAATTGGAGGCGGGAGAGGAAGATCCTCAACCAACCAAACACCTTTTTATTCGAAGAAAAAGCCCCGGCAGCCACCGCCTCCGCCACCACCGCCAAAACAGAGGCAGTTGCAAGTGCCGTCGCCGCATTCTCACTCTAGAAAATCTTACTATTTCACCAGAGAACTCGAATCCAACGATGGGTTCTGTGTTAATTCCCCTCCGCCGTCCCCGCCGCTGCTGCCTATGCCGGTACCGCCGAGAAAGTCGTCANAACAG